TACCTCCGTAATGCGGCTGTGCTAAGGCAACGAGAGACTGGGGCAGAGAGGAGAGTATGAGGCGAGAGGCACAACAGGTGAGAGGGCGCCAGACAACAGCCTGCTGCGGATGTCGAAGTGCAGCTGGCTGCAGCTTACTTTGCAAGCCCCAGCGCCCTTTTCGAGTGATTTCCATGCACGGGAGTGCCACATCTGTGATTGTCCTCTCGAGCTCTATCCTACAGACGGAAGGGAATCGTTCGCACGACTCCTGCCTGAGTTGTACCTTTAATACTCATACAAAAACCATAGCAATCTTGGTCGTACTTCATGCTTTGTCTTCCATGGGAAGGTTTCCGAAGCGAAGCTCTGCTTCATCACCTTGGTCAGTTCGAGGAACATTGAAACAAATGCGCACCGGCAATCTAGTAAGAAATGCCGATCAGCAAAAAGTGAACAACTTTCCAGTTACTCATCTAGCTTTCGAATACAGAATAAATACAAGCTTCAGAATTACAAAAAGCAACAAAAATTTCGACTGCTGCATTTGCTGCAGGCCTTTTCAACGAAGAAATCCGAAAAAGTCAACAACTAATTCGATATCGGACTCATCTTCTCTATCACACTGTTGACTGGCTAGGTATAAGAGGTGGACTAGGCAATGCCTCATTTTCTGGAGTGTTGCACAACTCAGCTACCTTCCCTTATAAGGGAAAGCCACGCTTTTTCAAAACGGTTTTTTGCATATTGTAGGGACGCATGTAGGGAACACAAAACCATGTTTCATTTTCGCTGAACGGTTTTAGCAGTACCAAAAAAGAAGCATAAGGTACTGTTAATGGTTCGATCCCCCGTGGCGACTAAATTTTGCATTTGGGTTGGCGCCTACGGGTTGGTGCCAAATCGCGCTAAATATCAAAATATGCGTTGGGTTTCAACTGCTATTGCGCTAAATGTCAAAATCAGTTTCATGGTTCATCGTCAGAAACCATTTTGAAGTCAACAAGTGGCCAACCTTGATTGCAAAATTTAGTCGCCGCGGGGGATCGAACCATCAAGGGTATCACCACTTTTTTGATACTACTAAAATCGTTCAGCGAAAACGAAACATGGTTTTGTGGTCCATACATGCGTCCCTATAATATGCAAGAAGGCGTTTCCAAAAAGCGTGGCTTGACCTGGAAGACCCCCCTCTCCCTCCCCTGTTGGTAGTAAACCTCGCTGCAGTTGCACGAGGCCTACCACGTGCCCAGCCTTTTACATATCAGTTACCTCAACAACAACAACATTAAAACGTCCCCACTCGTAGTTCAAAACATGAGCAAGTGAGAGGAAGTTTTATGACACCAAACTCTCTATGAAAAACTTCAAATAACCACGTACTTCGTAAAATTAGGGAATCCGACACCCGGCCGTAGTCAGAAGATGCGTACGGATTAGATTCATTTAGCATGTCGTACTCTTCCGGTCTCGGCGAAGGTGGTCGAAACGGTTTGGCAATCTCCGAAGGGTCATACCGACGACTGCACTCTTGGAAAAAGCTATCTGGAATGTCTATATCAACTGAATCATTTTGGATTGAATACCTGCGCTTCTCAACACTCACCTGATAAGAACATTTCATTGGGATCATAATCAGAGTGCTTTTCTGGGATATACATTGAACTTATAAATCGGCTATCACACGAGTTATTATATACGTCATTGAGAGTAATGTTCGCCGGCAAGGAACAATCCGACAAAGTAAAAGATGTAGAGTGAGTCCTGGAAAAGTGCTCGTTACAGAAAACAAAAATACAACAAGAAAGCAACACGTTTGCAGAGGCAATCCTTTTGGAACGGTAACGACCTAAACAAGATTTTTGTCTCCTTTATACTAGTAAGTATTACCACAAAATTACCACGGAAATACCCCATGAACCCATAAGCTGATTAACCCGTACTGAAATGTTTTCGAAATCAAAAGAAAATTCAAATTACGACATCCCGACAAAATGCACGATGTATAGTAGAATGACAGCAATGTTTGCCTAATGACAAAGAAATTAGGATTTTTAAGATGGAACTTGCAACAAGCATTCTGAGTGCATAACTAGCAGCTGGACATATTTTAGTTATGACCACTGGACGCAGTGCGTAACCACTAGCACTCATCAATAAGATAAAAAAGTAGCACAAGAAGGTTGAGTTATGAGCAAAAAGTTGTTTAGTTCCATGTTGTGGACAAGGCTAGAAAAAAGGTTCAATTCCCGCGTGAGGCGAAAACTTGCCCATAACACAGCATTCTTGTGGATCTTTCGCAACGCGAACTGCGGCGGTAAAACAGCAGTTAACAAACAAAAACAAATCTTAAATAATAGCATCATTAAGGAAGGTGGATAGGCTTTTGCTCATTGACTCGTTGAGTTCGTTGTCATATACCCGTTCGAAGGCATTTGAGCTGCCTTTGAAGAGCTGGGTTGTCAATGTCTGCCCTTCTTAGCTCTACGATTTTTTTTCGGAAGTTCAGAAACTTCAGCTATTTGGAACATTTTTGAGGATACACAAAACTGAGACTTTTAACCGCTAACACATACAGCATCCGTCTCGGAGAAGGACGTTGTAGTCAGCTCAAAAAACGACATCTGCTTTCTAAAGACAGTACCCAAGATAAAATAGTGCATGACCTGCACGTTAATTTCGATTAACTGTCACGCATTCAAAAAGCGGAACACTTCTGCAAGAGTTCAGCCTTGACTTTGTGACAAGCACCGTGTAAGAAATGTAGAATTTGTAGTCTATCCGCAATACTCACCCAGTTCATTCTCTTCACACTATAGTTTTCGCTACCTTAATTGCAATCGCCAAATAGGAATCGTTCCAATATGAGCGAGAAGGCCTTCCCTTATGAAACATACTCACCTTTTCCGTCTTGTCCTATCTGCATAGGACGGTCGAAACGGAGAAGAAGGAGCATAACTGATGGTCTTTGGACGGTGCAGCATCCTCTAGAAGAAACACGCAGAGTTCATTACCTCAAATTTCACAGCACAAATCTTGTATTAAGGTTCCTAGAAAGAAAAACCATAATTCTTAAGCCACTACAAAATTATTACTTGGATTTATTTTTATCTATTTGATCATTTTCCATGGAGGTTTGGGCTAATGACATAACAAGATTATGAGCTTGGTGTAATTCGTATTGTGTGATGTAAAATAGTCCAAAAACTGAGAAGCATAGAACAAGAAATCAGCATTACGCCCCATCCTAACTTTATAGATATGAAACTTTTTTCTCTAGTCAAGTCGAATGAGATAGGCAATTATTTGCACATTCGTTGTTCGCAACGAAAAATTCTGTTCTGCAACGTAACCTTTCTACTGACCCACCTTAGCCAAGCTATGCAGAGTTCGCCGAATTTCAACGTACTTTCGCCATTTATCAAAGTACTTCCGCACAATTCTTTTTGAACGGGCTTTCTTGAACTGCACCAGCTTCAGCGAGAGCCGTACTTTCTGACTGTCAACACTAAACAGAGATTCTTATAGATAGAACACTAACTTTCACTTTCATTTCTTCTTTCATTTTCAGTTCAACATAGTCGAAGGAATCAAAGAATAAAAGTGCTTGTCACAGAGCTTTGATGTTGAAACGTCAAAAAAGTATTGAACTTCAGGGTGGGTAACATAGACACATTACCAGAAGCTGAACTTAAAAGGCCAATTTGCAAGAAAAGGGATTTTGTAAGAACTATCATTTTCTTCCAAATACGACATGCTAGTTTCTCTTCTCTTACTCGACTTTTTTTTTCACTTCTAATAGACCAAACCGCCAGAAATGGCTTCAAAATAAATAGCAAAGCTAACTCACAGAGCTAACGAGGCCTTGCTTTGATGACCAACTTCACCGTGCTTTGCATAGTTAGATGGCGAAAAACACTATAATAAGATTGATAATTAAATGGAAGCAGTCAGGTGGCAATGATTAGTGGTGTCTCATACTAAAGGTAGAGGGGCAACTTTGATTGCGGTCGCAGTAGAAAGACGGCATACTTTGACAATTCCAAACGCCTCGGAATGTCTCCCAATCATGCCGACGTTCTTGGCGCTTACGACGATTCTCCAATACTCGATCACGCCAAACATCCCAAAACTGTCGCAACCACAACAGCTCCATCTGTTCTCGAAATCGCTGAAGGCCTGACGAAATCTGAAACAACATTTTTCAAAAAGTTCATAATAAAGCCATCTTGAATTACATGCCTCATCCACTTCTGATTTCAGCGTTTTCTTTAGGATCATTTTCGTTTCCTTATCCACACAATGCCACAATTTTGAGCGCCACAACTCCTCGACCAAAAGATGTGCCGTCATCTCAATATGAGAACGAATACCTTCCCTAAAATGAAGAGGTAGCGCAATTGTTTCATCAGTCTGAACACCACACCGTGAGACACAGTACACATATGAAGAATATGGAACATAAATACTAGCTCCAAAAAAGAGGAAGTAAAGGTGAAAAGGAGGTAGTGAGAAGTAGAATTTACCCTAGTTCCTGTTTGATGGCTGCTCTCGTCTTCTCCGCAATGACTTCATCCAGCAACTGCTCAAATAGCCGACGGACGAGTCTTATTTTTTCTTCTTTCAACCTTTGTGATTCCAAAAGTGCTCGCTCGCGATCTTCGCTCTGCCCAGCGTTCTTACTTGGCGACATCCACAAGCACCATCGGAAAACAACAAAAATAATTCAAGTAAGGAGAAAGGGCTTTAAATTAGGAAAAGCTAAGATAGCACTAAAATGAGTCACGGTTGCCCAGATTTGAAACGTGGTCACATAGAAAGCGCAGACTTGAATAGATACCTGATAAATCGTCTACCAAGCTACCCGAAATAGAGGCAGCCACTCCCTCGACGTTAGCATCTTTACATATTGTAAAACTCTCTTTATCTGCTACTTCACGCACTACATTCTCGACGGTAGAGGTGACTCTAGAACAACTCAATGAAGCTTGTAAAGAGCAAAAAAAGCCCTTCGGCTTAGAACAAAATTACCACGAACCCAAGAACGCGCTTCATGATGTTCTTCTCTCATAGTGGCTATGGACGCCGGCTTCACAGGCGCTTGATTTTGCTCGGAAAATAGTAGCCTTTGAGCCTCCGACTAGAACAATTCCAAATATAAAATCGTATCTGACAGACTCATTAAGGCAAGCCATTCCCCAGGTCAAAATATTCAATTTGAACCTACTTGAAGAGAATACTTCTCGAAAACAGTCGAAAGCACAGGATCTTTGTTGTAACGACCAGAGTCATCAAACGAGTCAGTCATCACAGCAATAGAGAAGAACGAAAAAGGTGCAGGTCCATATACAACCTGCGATAGCACAAATCGTGGAATAAAATACTCCATACAAAAAAAGTTTACCTGACTCCAGGCAGCATTATTTTTTGCATCTATCCAGCGGTAAGGTCTCGCAGGCAGTCGGGATCCTGTACAAAAGTGTCGGTGATTGAAAAACACCTGAAATAAAATTTAGCAGCACACAAATAAATACATTTATGGTATACGATGAAAAGCTGAGTTGGAATGAAATGGTGCCCCGGTAGCGTAACTGGTAGCGCACTTGCCCGGAAAGCGAGAGGTGCGGGTTCTAGTCCCGCCTGGGGCGAAAGCGAACGGGTCTTTCGGGAATTATTTCATTCAGGAAAACGCGATCTGTCACTTCACGTTATTCCTGACATTACCAACTTGATAGGTATATTCAAGTAGCTATACAAATTCTTCACATCTGCATACTGGATTGCTACAAAGTGATACAGTGATACTAATTATCAAAGATCGTTAGCGGCTTTCGGAACCCTTCGAATAACAACCCAAAACGAAATTGCTCGGATCTTTGTGTACTGCCCTTTTTTACTGTGATTAAGAACAAGGAAAACGGATTTAAAACGCTATGAAATGCACTTTGAAAAATTCCGCACAGTAGCAGACTTACCTGCTCATAATTCAGACTGTTTGGATGCACTCCATAGGGAATGAGAGAATTAAATGCATCATCGCGATCATCCCAAGCAAGAACACGTAGCAAATAAGAAATCTCTAACAGGAACGCAGAATGCCGACCATAGGCGGTCATCATCGTGTGTAAAGCGTTTGACAGTACCTGCAAAACGCTTCTAAGTCCTTGATGAAAATAGAACAGACTGGGCAAACTTACTGTACTGAAATAACGATGGCATATGCAGCATTGAAGATATGTTGCTTCTTTCTTTAATAAACGGAAAAATCTGAAATTGTGTTGAAATACATGAACACTTCTTATATACCGTAACAACAATTAGCTTCAATGACAGTAACTCCTTCGGTATACTGGCGTCATGAATGGCAGTGATTGTAAGAAACCATTGTACGAAATGGTTCAAAAGATTCACCTGACATAATTCTTGTTTTGCAGTGCACCCGATAGTTGAAGAGCTAATCGAACAGGTTGCGATTCACGCACTTCTTTTCGGTATGACAACACCTTCAATGATGTTACTTACAAAGTAACAACCTCAGAAATGCACGAATGACAGTAAAAAGTAATATGGAAGTTGAAGATGCGAGTAAATAGGTGGACTATATTCACTTACTTGTCGCATGATATTGCTATCGTGGAGATGTAACATAACATCATAACCACGGAATTCAGCCTCAGTATCGAAAGTCTTGCCTTGCAGTTCTGGAAATACCAGATAACCTTACTACTGAAGATAGAGGTAACTCTTATCACATCAGTCACTTCAGGGCAAATTCAACGCCGAATTGGTGTAGGAAATGAAGCATACCCAAGTCTTCATAGAGATGTCTCAAAGATTGGAGGCATTTGGCAAGGTTTTCCGTATTCATGTTCTGATCGAAGCGGTCGAAGCCAAGGCGACAAAGCTTATACGCACATAGAATATGGAGTCGAGCACATCTAGAAACAATTTCACCTTCAGAAGGAATTATTGAAAGGAACGTCTTGATAAATTGTAAGTGAGGGAAGATTGCGATAATGGTTCAATTTTCCCAGCAAATTCTCTTTATTTGGCATTCATGAGGCGGCCTTTAAAACATTACGTTGGGGGCAACGACTTCTTTTCTGAGCTTCAATTATGGTGCGAAAATTCGTACACAGATGAATCTTCTACTACTCCAAAATCAGAGTAGTGACCCGATCGCTACACCGTTATTCCTGCCGTGAGCGAAGGCCCTCAAAAATTAGACTTTGTAACATATCGCTGCAATTATGCTTCTCCAGAGTAAAAGCAAGCATGAGACTAACCCTCCACCCAACCAGTATACGAAAAAAAACGTTCTAATGAGGGACACTTCCAGAAACGGCATCTGATTCGTTGCTCGGCGAAGGAGACGTACCTTTCAAAAAGAGCTACAGCAGTAGCATCCGCCAGCATGAGCTGGGTGATTTCTTTGCGAATGGCACGTGTACGACTCCATAAAAAGTCATACCACGTAGCTAAATCATCTTCATTCCCAGGTAAAGAATCAACTACCTGAAAAATGATTCTGTATTGAAATAGATGAGCTCGATTGTTTAACGATGAGTAAGTTACATGTTTGAGAAGATAATCCATAGTATTTTTCAACAAATCTTCCGAACGCAGTTCATGAGGTAATGGATTATCCTGGTCGGCTGCACTTCTTGCATATTCCTGAATGTCAAAGATCAAATGAGATTTGAAAAACGAAGACTATCTGCTGCTTCTCGCGAATCCTTCACGTAATCGCTGCACAGTGAACGGCTTTTCATGTCCAAGTGAGATTCAACCGCTCAAATAACTAAATGGCCCTCCAAAAATGCTTCAATCATCTCATCAGTAATTTTGTCACAAAATACTGATTAATATCGGTATTTGTTTACTACCATGATTATGATCATTCACAAATCGTACATTGCTCGCTGTAGCCACGCTGTAAACCACACTGCTCATATTTCCAAACATTTTACTAAGTTGCAACTCTCGCTTTCTACCTCTAATAACCGCTCCATAGACACATGGCACTCTGGTTATACAATGGCGTGACAATATTCATACAACACGGGAGGATGGCTTATCTTCATGACAAGAAAGTACAGTAGGGAAGGGGAGGGGGGGCAAATTACTTGGTTCATCAGTGAGATGAACGTCGCACATGGTAGTGGTATGGGTGTGACGTATTCACATTCACATGGACATGACCCTCTATAGAAAAACGAGGCCTTCTCGATTAATTTCACAAGAAAAGGGAGAGAAGTGACATCTGGATCCCCCTCTTCCACCTTTCTTCCCTCTTCCTCTCCTGCACACACGAAAAATGGTAATATTCTTATAACTTAGCGCCTACTTTTACGAGACGATTCGGCTCCAGTCCACTGGGACCGCACTCATACGGGGATATTCTCTTCTGAACCACTCGAACGTATCTGAACACAACAAAATAAATGAGCCATAAATATAGTTATAGCTAACAATAGCTACTACAGGATGCTAAGCTAAGAAGCACCAACCTCTCCTTCTCAGTGCACATTCCTAGACATAGTCCCTT